TCATAAAACTTAAAATTTTTTTAAGAAGTAACTCATACAACGTCAAAAATTAATACTTAAAAAAATTTAACACCGTAAGACCATTTCGGGTATCTTTAAAAAGAAATAATGCTTTTAAGGGAGTTAATCGTAATAATTACTTATTTCGTATTGCAAGGGAGACAGTAAATATGAAAAAGGATTACAAGCTACACAACAAGAATAGGGGTGATGACGGAGTACAGTAAACGAATCTATTTAGTCCGTCAGTTAGATGATCAAAAAATAATGGACACGTATTTTTTCTTTGGGCAATCAACCAAAAAATGACAAAGTTTGGGAGAAGGGGCTCGTGACGTCACTTTTGAGTAAATTTTCATTTATAAGTGTACTCAAACGTGACTTCATGCGACTTTTCAAATCAATATATCTCTGCAATGTTTATATTATGTGAAAAAAGAAAAAATACGTGTCCAATACTTTTTGATAATCTACCTTATAAACGAAGAAAAAAAAATAGTCATCATCCCTATTGTGATATTATCATTTACACATTATTCCTTCTGTATCAACAAATATAAACGATTGAATTTCATTTCGAACTAGATTCACAATATAACAAAGGCACCTTTGTAAATGCAAAACGCGTTCGACGAAACTTCCGCAGTTCTAAGATTGCTCGCTTACTAAAATCCCGAAGCCATATCCTCCGTGCCCATAAATTTGGTGAGCACGCGCCTAAATAAGTAACATTTTTTATTTTGACACATCCCAGGGAACCCTCCCCTGGCGGATTGAAAAAGTCGATCGTATTTCTCTACTAAATCTTTCGCTGCTCCGGATGGGTCTGTTTCTGAGATATGAGTTTCCTCTCGGCAATTTTTAAGATGTTCCATACTTAGATTAAAACAAAAAGGGTAGATACGGTACGTTCATACTTGCATCAAACAAAAACTGATCTCACGGCATCGGCAGCGCGAACGGAACGACAAGATCCGCGTCACTGCATTACCGACCCGAACGAAACAGCACGTTAAGTTTCAACGGCAGCGCGAACGAGACGGCGAGATCCGCGTCACTGCACTACCGACCAATCACGCGACCAGTACTCGACGCCACTACCGAATGAGATTCAAAACAAACAGCAATTTTTATGAACAAATATATTTTATAGTACTTACGAATGAAAAGTGATGCTGTGGGTGTTATTTTTAGTTCTTGAGCAATTTGAGCACTTTTTAAAAGCACACTTAGGCATTGTTTTATCATATAAACACAAAATATTAGCAATATTTCTTTTTGGCGCTCACATGTACGTCGTTTGCATGTCAAGTTGTGACTAAAGCGATTAGGGTCGTGGACCACAATTCATGCGGATCACTTTTGTGAGGCTAGTGCCGTATCTACCCTTTTTGTTTTAATTTAAGTTTCCATATCAAAAAATGTCTTCGTAAGTGGAATTTTATTGAGAAGACGACACTAGCGAGCTAATAATATTTGCCACCCAGAATACAAAAATCGAACTCAAAATACCTTAATTCAAATTGAATGCATAGCTCTCTTGGACGATTCTTTTGAATTGTTCAATATTTTTTACACTATCATTCGTTAAGAAAATTTATTCAGCTACGAAAACACGGTCGTAAAGGCTCCACAACATTCAATAAAAAACAACGAGATTTCCAAAGGTAGTAAGTACGTCGTAAGACTGTCAATACGTGATTCATAATTGAAAGTAGTGTTAAAATTTAAACTAAGAAAAAAAATAGGTGATGAACTGACCTAACAATATTGTTTCTTAAGTAATATTTACTATTATATAAAGAGAGAAAAGGTTACACTGACAGGCTGACTGACTGACTTATCAACGCACAGTTGAAACGGCTGGATCTAGAATGATAATATTTGGACAGTAGGTTCCTATTATTGCCAAGACAAGTAATAAAATGAAATTCAGCCATTCATTCTTAAGTACACTATGCCAGTTACATAAACATTTTACAAATTAAAAATTCGTGTCAAAGTTTGTATGGGAGTTTGGCTAGCTTGACAGCTTTAAAACTTTGCTTAGATAAACTAAACTGAAACTTAAAAAATAGGTATCCATGTTTTTTTAATTCGATCTTTACGGCGAGAATAAGGATTATTGATAAGTTATCTACAAAATATATTCAGCTGCTCTAATGTGTTTTCACTAGCTGCGCCCCGCGGCTTTACCCGCAAAGTTCCCTTTCCCTTGGGAATTCCGGGATGAAAATATATTCAACCTATAAGCCTAAAAGAAACTCTGCTTAAAAGAAAAATCAGGATGGCCATGCCCATAGTCAAAAAGATTAAATATACTCAACCTATATTTACTCAGAAACTTTTTGCTAAGCTGAAAAATCAGGGTGGCCTAAGGGGTGGCCATGCCCTTGACCAAGTTGATTTCAGATATTTGACCTGTTTTCAGCAGATTTGCTCTGATTTGATTTCAGTATAATACTCTTACCAAACCGTGCAGGCTATAAAGGGGGAAAAATACACTTTTGAATAAGTACAACTTTTGTTCTATTAATTCCACGGAAACGGGAACTCCAGGGGTAAGATTCTATTTTTCTACCACTTGACCGATTACGAAATCATTTTTACCAGATCGTACCTACATATATACCTGTTATTTCCGGATGCTGATTCGTGTCAACTTAATACAATACTCCTGTGCGTAGCCGGGACATATATAAAACTCAAAGGTGACTGACTGACATAGTGATCTATCAACGCACAGCCCAAACCACTGGACGGATCGGGCTGAAATTTGGCATGCAGGTAGATGTTATGACGCAGGCATTCGCTAAGAAAGCATTTTGATCAATTCTACCCCCAAGGGGATAAAATAGGGAATGAAAGTTTGTATGAAACTTTGTCAATTTTAAACCGATCGGGCTGAGACTTTGCATGCAGGTATAAGAAGAATCATAGATGAATATCATTGTGTATAATACAAGCCTGAGAACAAAAACTGTAGTCTATACTTCAGCTCTACACCGAAGCGGAGCGAGGGCGGGCCGCTAGTTTCTTCTATAAACTTCTTTTGTTATGTTAAGAGGAAAATGGACATATTGATTGATTGCCTGGATGACTCATAACGCAAAGCCAAAACCACTGGACCTATTAAATGAGATTTAATCAGTCCTTTATATTGTCCATAAATAATTTAGACACACTCAACAGACAACAGATAGACAGACAAATAGACAGATAGACGACAGACATTACATGACAGATAGACAGAAGACAAATCGACTGCGGAAGACAGATCGACAACAAAAATATTAAGTCCTTCCGTATATAATAATTGTACTTTCTCAAATCAGTGATCTGTTTATTTTCATCACATATATTTCCATAGATATTCAAATTTAGAAACACGGATAGAGACATTGTAATGCTCGATACTTCATCATCATCATCAACAGCCTATCTTAGTCCACTGCTGGACAAAGGCTCCATTTGCAAGCCACTGAGATCGATCTTGGGCTACTCGCATCCAGCTTCTGCTTCACAATTAATTAAATACATTTTTTTTTTAATCAGGTTTTGGTGAACATTTGGTTCACTGGTTTGCTAGTAAAGCAATAATAAAACAGTGGCTTCTAGACCTTCTCATTTCAGAACCAATACAATATTTTAAAAAAAGACCAATCGCCCTGGCCAGACACAGTAGAACGTGACGCAGTTATTGAAAATTTGAAAATCGTCAATCGAATGCCAAGAATGGAAACCAAGGTTACCTTAGCGATGCGTATGGAAATGATTTTTTATAGAATTTTAGTATATTTTGGTTATTGAAGTCGTTCAAATTTGTTTTTGTCGCTTTTGTTAAATTGTTTTTGTCATTGTATAGTGAAAAGCTCTCGATTATTCCCTTTTGTTTATTTGTTCTTCAGTTTCCTTTGTATTTTAGATAAATAGGTGTTTAAATTAATATACCTTTTTGAACACCTATCGTCTGAACATTGTTTTGTCGTTTTTGTAAAATATTTTTTGTTATTGATTTCTCTCGTTTATTTGTTATTAGTTTTTTCCTCAGTATTTTAGATTAATTATGTTTCCATAGTATTTAATACATCGGTGTGAAGCCGGGAAGGGCCGCTAGTATTTGATATTATTATAAATTTAGTTGCAACTAACTCCACTATTCGGCCACTATGAAACCGGCTACGGAATAAATCACAAGTTTTTGCGTTCAGGGTTAGTGGGTGAATTGAAAGCACGAATTTGTAAGAGGGTCTCTTTGATAGCCTCCCTTGAGTTTCAATTTACATAATCCTTTAACCCTACTACAAGTTAATAACTTAAAATCACTGGTATTCAAATTCATTTGGTTAAAAGCTACTTAGCAATTGAAAAAGTTTCCTTTCGTAGGTACTGAAACAAATAGATACCTTATACCTGAAACATTATGTGAAAAAAGGCAATTTTTGAGGAACTCGATAACGCAGGTGGTTAGTACGTTCGGCCTGTGATCGTGGAGCTAAGCAACTTCCGCAATGGTCAGCCAATGGATGGGTGACCAAAAAATTATTATCTTGATCTACTCTGTGCTTCCAAAAGCACGTTTAGCCGTTGTTCCTGGCTGCATCTGCAGTCGTAAAAACCCACGAATCCGCACTGGGCCGGTGTGGTGTGTCATGGCCTAAAACTCGCTATGAGAACGGTAATAGGCTGATGATGATGTGAAAATAATCATCAGAGTATAAATGTCCCAACTGCTGGGGCTCAAACAATCCTTAACAATGGAATAGGGCGAATAGATCATGATCCAGTAAGAAGGATGTAGATGCAGCCTGGATCAGTGGCTTAAAATGCCTTCGGAAGCACAGAGGAATTCAAGATCATCGATCCTGAATATCTACAGTCAATGTTTGAACCTTATTTTTTTATCAAATATGTGTATTACGTACGATAGGACAACTACCTGCTACGGCAGTGCTCCTGCCCTCTGCTTCGGAAATCAATTAAGTTTTTGATGCAGTTACCTATAATAGTTGAGGACCTGCGCGAAGACCCCTGGATGCCTGTCGAAGAAGTACTCGTTGAGCACCGGGTCGTAGTTGGCGAGCGCCTCTGTCAGCCGGGAGAGGCGCGTCGCTGGGATCTTCTTCAGGGTCGCCTTGTAGGTCTCATGGCGGATTCCCCCCACATTGAGAACCACGCGGTTCTCCGCGTCCATATTCAAGAGATTCATCGCTGGAACAAAATGTTAATGTTACTTGTCTTTGACCCGAATTATTCACATCAAGCTTTTTTTATCCGAAGTCCATTGAGTTTTGAGATAATGTATCTGATGCTACAATAGGATATTAATATGACGCTGCAGTTCACACCACTTCTAATCGTAATAACATTTCAATTACAACTATCATCAATTTACTTTTGAAATTAATCAAAAAATGCAGAATGACTGAAATTGCCTGATTTTTGGCTCCACATTAAAGTATTTGCTACCTTCTAGAAAACTATAATTGTTTATCTTACTTGTGGATATTTATCAGCCTTTTTGAAGAAACGATTTGCCGCTACGGTGACCGACTCTGGCCCCTCCTCCTCGTGAGCTCGATGTGGCCGCTCTCAAGTCTGCTGAGCTTCACGTGGGGTGACATCGCTGTCGGCAGAAGGAATCCTGGTGACAAACGATCAAGAGATTTATTGATATCTGACTAAGGTTTAGAATAGTTGTAAATGATTAACAAATCATCAGAAATGTTGCAGTCTGACATTAGTGTAAGGTGTGGCTGTAAAAGTAAAAAGCCTCATTCGCAGACCGTGACCGTGTGTTAAATCTAAAAAGTTATTCAGGAAATGGTGAACTCCAGAACAGCAGTTAGGAAAGTACGCTTGTAAAATATAATACATTCAAGTGACTTTCAAAATATCCGTTACATAGTTTAATCCTTTTAGGAGATCCGAAACAACACAACTTTGCGTACAACACAACGGCAAAGGCCTAACAATGTGCGGGCAAAAATTTCGCCGGAATAATCTAAAGGGCTACAGCAATTCGCAGGTACCGGTCCGTTCCGTCCTACCCGTCTACTCTTTCAAACTCCGGTGCTTTCAAATAAAACGTGCTCTGATTAAGTAAGTTTTGTCGAACCGAATGCCACAAAGTTACCGGTTTTATGGTGATAGGAGCCATTCCGTTAACGCTGTAGCATCCAGTTCTGTAAGACAGGCAACTTTGTTGGCAAGTTAGGTGTTTCACTAAAACCCACAGGGTGATCAAACGTGGCTTGAACACACTTTCGGCATTGAATAATTCTTGAATGGATCACTTTGAACGAACTCACAGATTGGATGCACTAATTACAGCCCTATCGAAATCCTCATGTTTTGAGGAATTCAGTAGTTCATGAACGCCAAGTGAGGTGGAAAAAGAATTGCATTTTACAAATCTTATACGCTGTACCTGTTTTGTAAAACTTCCAAAGGGGTTTTTGTGATTGAAAACCTATAAATCGAAATAAAGGTACCACTAATTCAACAATGTGAAGTGAGATGCGAGTTATCAAAAATTTACAAACTGAGCTTAAAGCGATTCTGGCAGTCGATCTGAATTAAATGGACAGAACAAGTCGGCCTCAGCGTTCCCAATCTAAGTTGATTGTCGTGACAGTATGTCAATGGATTTTCGGAGATAATATTGTTGGCGTCTTCTTATTTAAAAAATATTTTTAAGAAAGCGTTGATGAGACAAAATCGATCGCTTCCTTTCAAGAAAGGCACGACTTCATTTCCAATGTTTTACAGTGTTCAAGACAGCTTGAACCATAATAGGTGTTGGCCTAAAGTAGTGGTTACTATAGTATTGTATATTGTCTATTATACTCCTAGCCTGGAGGTAGTTTATTTATTTTTGAGAAACCAACAGCGATACAAATAGTTATTACATAATTTAATTTAGTAATAAGAATGGCCAATAACAGGTTTTTACTAGATTTAAACATCAAGCAGTCACATGCTCTAAAATAATAAAAATTAAAGGTTTTTACTAATTAAATTAGATACTAAAACCGTCGTTGTGCCGCCTAAGCTAAGGTAACATGTAGGCATGCATATTTTAATGCCAGGTCACGTGAGACTGTTGCAAAGCGGCCATTAGTGTTGATATTTTAATTTGGAAATTATTTGTGTTTTGACAACGCTTTTAGTACTTGAGAAAATGTTTATACCAATAAAACGTTTGTTATTGCATAGAATTGCATTTGCTCCATACAAAGTAATATGTGGTGGAGTAGCGAATATCGGGATGTTCTAGTACGACGCTTTGGGATAAAAAAAATAATGTTAGCTAAAAGTTCAGGAGTATCTATATTGCTTCTTACGATATCCGATAGTAGCCTACGCTCTTCAAGAGTTAATAGTCTATTTTTATGGCAAGTTCTCACGTAATTGAGGTATCTCATAAAACGGCGTTGTATTCCCTCGATTCTCTTTACGTGCGATTCGTAGAAAGGAAACCATATATTACTTCAATATTCTAGCACAATTCTTACACAGGCATTGTAGAACACTTTTAAAATAATCATATCCTTAATAGATGCACAAGTACGTATAACGAATAATAAATTACGGTAAGCTTTAGCAACGATGGCATCTATGTGATTTGCTTGCTGCATTTTGCCGTCACAAAGAATGCTCAGGTCTCTTATTACTTCCACCCAACCAATGGAGGATCCATTTAAATTATAACTAAATGTGAGACAAGAGTTTTTCCGAGTGAATGTTATGCACTCACTTTTATTAATGTTGATTGCTATCTTAATAACAACCTAAAAATCATATACCTAGCCTATTAAGATACTCTTGCAGCAAGAGACAATCATCAATAGTTTTGATAGACATATATATTTTCATATCATCTGCTTATAGTAAGTAACAAGCGTTTTTATACATTTGTATACATCATGTATATATGCATTATACATAAGAGGACCAAGGTGGGAGCCTTGTAGTACACCCGAAGGTATTACTATTCAATGAGATCTATATCCACTCATAACAACAGCTTGCGATTGATTATACAGATACGATTCCAGCCAATGCAAAAGGTCTCCGTGAATACCAAGTGAAAAAAGCTTATAGAGCAAGGTTACGTGATCTACCCTATCGAAAGCCTTGTCAAAGTCGGTGTAGATGACGTCAACCCACACTCCACCCTCCATATCACTTAAAACAAAATTAAAAAAACAAGTCAAATTTGTAGTGGTTGGACGTTTTTTCTTGAAACCATGTTGTGCGTGCGATATGTCTTCAGAAATAACTGGGTAAAGGTGTTTTAAAACGACTTTCTCTAAAACTTTACTGATAGTACACAAAATAGAGATCAGCCGATAGTTTTAATATCCGATTAGGAACCCTTTTATTTATTTATTTATTTATTTATTTAATTCTTAATGCACAATTGTACAATGGCGGACTTAATGCCGTAGGCATTCTCTACCAGTCAACCATAGGGTGTTGTGGAGAAGATTAGTGGTAGGGTGCACATGTGAGGTGGAAATCACATTTAAAGCAGTAAATCACATTTCAACATAAATATTATATTAATATATAATAATTAAATTACACAGTAATTATATACAATTACATACATATATATATATATATATATACATATATAAACATACACATACGTAAACATATAATAAAATAACACTACATAAAATTAATACATAATAATGACGACTAACTACTAAACGAAATTGTCTGTTCCAGTAAAAAACTTCGCAGCTTGGTTTTAAAGCTATATTTGCTGGTGGACATTCTAATGGCCAACGGGAGTTCATTCCACAAATGAATTGTTTTGATGAAGAAGGAAGAGTGAGTGATATCAGAGCGGTGAGAGGGAACGACAAGTAAACGATTAGAAGAAGATCGAAGGTTTTTAGGATGAGAGGTACATAAGTACTGAAATTGAGAAGTGAGATAAGGGGGGGCATTTGGAGAATCTAACAAAGAGAACAAAGTGGTCAGAGCCCGCATACATCTGCGCTGCCTAATAGGCATCCATTTTAAGTCAGAACGATACGCGGACACATGATCATATTTTCTGAGGTTAAAAACGAATCGAATGCAGTAATTCTGAAGTCGATCAAGTTTATTGAGTAGATCTGCATTCAGGTCGAGGTAGCACACATCACCATAGTCAATTATGGGAAATATTAAGGTTTGCACAAGCCTTGCCTTAATATTGACCGGCAGAAAATTTTTCAGGCGATAAAGAGCACGCAGAGTTCCCGTTACTTTTTGACAGACACTACTTACTTGATCTTGCCATTTAAAACTCGAGTCCACATATAATCCTAAATCTTTTACGACATTGCTGAAAGGAACTGCAGTGCCGTCATAAATAATGGAACTAAGACCGCTGCTGTTAATTCTGCTCATCATTCTTGACCCACCTAATAAAATGGCTTGGCATTTTGAAGCATTGACAGTGACACCGAAACTATCCGACCATGTTTTGATAGCGACTAAGTCACTATTTAAAGCATCAATGGCGTCGTTTAAGTTGTCAATGCTTGCCTCTGTATATAGTTGTAAGTCGTCAGCATAAAGATGATACGAACATTGAAGTTTGTGAGTGATAAAGTCAATAAAAGTTGAGAAAAGAAGAGGAGAAAGAATACCGCCTTGGGGAACACCAGTTTCCAGACTGCGCCAGGATGAGGAAGAATCCCCAGACTGGACTAACTGCTGGCGGTCCCGAAGATAGGATGAGAACCAAGTCAATGCTTCGTCAGAGACCATAAGATGGGATGGTATGGAAAGGAGAATATCGTGACTGACAGTATTAAAGGCATTGGAGAAATCGATCAGAACTAAGCACGTGACTTTACCATTCTCCATTCCCGCCCTAATATCACCAGTCACCTTTAAAAGCGCTGAAACTGTGCTATGTCCGGGCCTAAATCCGGATTGGAGAGGGTTCATTAATGAGTTTTTGTGAACGAATTGAGAGAATTGCTTATGGACACAAGCCTCCAGCACCTTTGACATAAAAGGGAGGATGGCAATCGGCCGAAAATCATTAGGCTGTGTTGGATTGGGAACTTTGGGAAGGGGGCGTACAAAGGCTTTACGCCATAAAATAGGAAAAGTGCCAGTGTCAAGAGAGGAATTTATAATATGGGTTATAGCAGGAAGAAGAGGGTCCAGAATAGTGATGATCATGCGACGACTAATATCGTCACATCCCATCGCGTTAGATTTGATCGAAAGTATTATCTTCTTAATCTCTGACGATGTGGCTGGTGAAAAATGGAAAGGGGCAATGTTAGGACGCGTTAAACCATCTATAGAGGCAACAGTGCTTGTTGTAAGAGAACGATCCAGATTTATAGTGGAGGTAAAATGACAATTGAGATCGTTTAAGTTTATTGATTTAGATAGGTCCAAATGTCGCGATTTGCCGATACCTAGCGTTCCGAGAAACTTCCAGATATCAGCAGAAGATGAAGAAGAAAGATTGTTGAGAATAAATCGGCGTTTGGCGTTACGTATCATCTGATTACATGTATTCCTAGCAGCCTTGAAGAGCTTCCACTTTTCGTCAGAGCGATCCTTTCTGTAACTTCGAAATGTACGATCTCTTCGTCTCATCGCCATCTGAACACCCAC